ACCACAGCCGCAAGGCGACCCGGAGCAGCGTGGAGAGTTAGGAAACACACTCGCTGACAGGTGACAGCTCCACCCTACACCATGTAGGGACAGAGGGCTTATCGTAACTCCATGACGGCAGGGGTTGAGATGAGGAGCCCAGGGAATATAGCCCAGGGAGACCTGGAAAATCTGTGTTAGAGAATAGGAAGGCCCCTGGCTGGCATATGTCTTAGAGGCAATAGGTCAATGGAATTCATTGTGTACTGTGTGTAGGGTGGATTATGTACAATACACTCTTAGAAAAAAAGGTTCCTTATAAAACCAAAAAGGGTTCTATCTCTTTCTTCATATATGGAACCTCTAAAACTTCTATATATAACCCTTTTATAGGGTTCTTTGATCAGAACCCTAGAGGTTCTTCTTCACTGAACCGAAATGGTTGCATATAGAACCCTGCATGGTGCCATTTATGAATTATGGCTACTTCTATTAAATAGCAATATTTTGAGCTAATAATGTAATTTAATAAACAATTAAATAATGGAAAAAAGAATACCAGCATAGTGTTTAGAATTTATAGTTTGAAAATATGCACTGGTGGCCAGGGAGGCATCTCATACCTTCCATACAGTTTACCTCAACCATTCAATGGATTCTTTCAGGTTAATTCTGAAATCCATCTTTATAACACAAGACACTGCGAAAACCTTCACCCTCCCCACCGCCACACCTCACATATTCTCTATCAGATACAGAGGTACCATACTCTGGAATTCTTATCTTCACATTGCCAAAACATCATCATCCCTCAATAACTTCAAGCAAAGACTGGGGGTCAGCCTGATGAACCAAACTACCCAATAATCACCTCCATGTAGCCTAACTCTCACACTCACTCTCACACACACACACACACACACACACACACACACACACACACACACACACACACACACACACACACACACACACACACACACACATAATCAAAAATGGTTTTTCTTGTATACTGAGTAGATCATGTGCAATTGTAATGAACATGTTTTGTTTAACTGATTGAAATTTGTTTTTTTGTACTTGTATGTGTTGTGTGGTTTTCATATCAGCCCTTTTGGGCTTCTAACCTCACCTGCACACCATCTTTACCAGTTTTTTATCTATACTGTTTTGTCTTTCACTTCTTTTCTTTGGTGCGAATAAATAAAACCTCAAACCTCAAACTTTGTTTGAATGATGGCCCACGTCAACTCCGGCTGACTTCTTTACAATACATTACAATATACTTTGTCCATTAGTTACAGTGAACAACAAAAATGTGTCTTCTGCTCAGTTCTCAACCCCCCCAAACAGTAGACCTCACACATACAGTTGAGACAAGCACAGGTTCAAGCTGCATGCAGCATCCATGGTTGGAGAGCATGTTGTGGAGTTAGGGGCCTTGCACAAGGGCCCAACAGTAGTTGAATGTTTTGAGGATGTGAACCCAGCAGCTCTCCAGTTGTCAGATCAATTCCACCCGTTTTTTTTTTTTCAGCAACCTGCCCGGGATTCAAACCGGCCACCTTTCAGCCACAGGTTCAACTCCTGCCATAGGTCCAACTCCTTAGCCGCTGGGCTACCTGCTTGACAGGTTCCATAGAACAAGAAAAATTAGCAAAAACACAAGTTAATTTCCAGAAATAAACATGAGTTAATCTCCAGAAATAAACATGAGTTAATCTCCAGAAATAAACATGAGTTAATCTCCAGAAATAAACATGAGTTAATCTCCAGAAATAAACATGAGTTAATCTCCAGAAATAAACATGAGTTAATCTCCAGAAATAAACACGAGTTAATCTCCAGAAATAAACATGAGTTAATCTTAAGAAATAAACACGAGTTAATCTCCAGAAATAAGCATGAGTTAATCTGCCAAAATTAAGACAAAATGCTATGCAGACATATAATTACTATGATGTAGAAGAACAACTTACATGCAGTTGTTGTCAGCGCCAGCCAAAAGAGATATCCTCTTCCTCTGATTGTTCTGGGTTACTGCCAGATTTAGAAGGAAAAAAAATAGTGTGTTAAAGTCATGTAATGATTAACTAGGCTATTGAATCACCAAGACTTATTATACATAATTTATTTGAAATAATTTATACATGCCTCCTCTCAGTCAGCAACAGTCTTTAATGGCTTCATAAAACATAGGCTAGTCCCCTCAATTGACTCCACACTGAAATACTGAAATAAAAGAAACAATTAGCTAATTGCCAATATCAGGCTGGGTCCGTAACTCTACTTGGCATTTCCCATAATACAAAAAAAAAAATATTTTAAAGAGTTACCTGGCTAGCTTGTAACGTGGCAAATTAAAATAGCCTTTTCTGTTTAGCTAGTTAAGTTAGCTAGCTAGCTTACAAATGTGCTCAAATTCTAATAACATTTCAACTTCATTTATCTAGCCTATATTTTATGATATGACTTTGGCTTCATATATTTGAATTAAATAATCAACTTTGCTTACCTTAATACATTGAAATATAACGTGCTTATTGGTAGGCTACTTGCAAATTGGTTCAACCACCATCCTCTTGTATTATTGTGCTGGAATCGATTGGCAGTTGCTTTTTTAATCGGAATGCCAGTAAACATTTTAATTGACCAATGCAAAAGGTTTGATATAGAACCACTTTTTTATCTGATTGTATGCTTTTACTAAACACATTATTTCCTCTTGCTTCTAGCTAGCATTTAGTTTGCAATTGCAATAGCACAGGTTTGTATGAACCTTGGTGTTTGCCACTCAGACCTCGGCAACAGAGCTAACGGTGTCAGACGTCTGCTAGCCATTTTTCTGATCAGGCGAAATCATGCAGCAGCATCATTAATATGGATACAAATGTCAACGGAAAACAGTTCAAACCAATGAAAAGGGAATGTTAGCTGTCATTTCAGAGTTTGATGTGACTGGGTTAGCTTTTGTTAGCTGTTGATTTCTAAGATCCCCATTACACTCTGGGGTAGGGATAGAAACCTCAAGGCTCTTTGCCTTCACTGGGTACAGTGGGGGAAAAAAGTATTTAGTCAGCCACCAGTTGTGCAAGTTCTCCCACTTAAAAAGATGAGGGAGGCCTGTAATCTTCATCATAGGTACACGTCAACTATGACAGACAAATTGAGACTTTTTTTTCCAGAAAATTACATTGTAGGATTTTTAATGAATTTATTTGCAAATTATGGTGGAAATAAGTATTTGGTCACCTACAAACAAGCAAGATTTCTGGCTCTCACAGACCTGTAACTTATTCTTTAAGAGGCTCCTCTGTCCTCCACTCGTTACCTGTATTAATGGCACCTTTTTGAACTTGTTATCAGAATAACAGACACCTGTCCACAACCTCAAACAGTCACACTCCAAACTTCACTATGGCCAAGACCAAAGAGCTGTCAAAGGACACCAGAAACAAAATGGTAGACCTGCACCAGGCTGGGAAGACTGAATCTGCAATAGGTAAGCAGTTTGGTTTGAAGAAATCAACTGTGGGAGCAATTATTAGGAAATGGAAGACATACAAGACCACTGATAATCTCCCACGATCTGGGGCTCCACGCAAGATCTCACCCCGTGGGGTCAAAATGCTCACAAGAACGGTGAGCAAAAATCCCAGAACCACACGGGGGGACCAAGTGAATGACCTGCAGAGAGCTGGGACCAAAGTAACAAAGCCTACCATCAGTAACACACTACGCCGCCAGGGACTCAAATCCTGCAATGCCAGACGTGTCCCCCTGCTTAAGCCAGTACATGTCCAGGCCCGTCTGAAGTTTGCTAGAGTGCATTTGGATGATCCAGAAGAGGATTGGGAGAATGTCATATGGTCAGATGAAACCAAAATAGAACTTTTTGGTAAAAACTCAACTCGTCGTGTTTGGAGGATAAAGAATGCTGAGTTGCATCCAAAGAACACCATACCTACTGTGAAGCATGGGGGTGGAAACATCATGCTTTGGGGCTGTTTTTCTGCAAAGGGACCAGGACGACTGATCCGTGTAAAGGAAAGAATGAATGGGGCCATGTATCGTGAGATTTTGAGTGAAAACCTCCTTCCATCAGCAAGGGCATTAAAGATGAAACGTGGCTGGGTCTTTCAGCATGACAATGATCCCAAACACACCGCCCGGGCAACGACGGAGTGGCTTCGTAAGAAGCATTTCAAGGTCCTGGAGTGGCCTAGCCAGTCTCCAGATCTCAACCCCATAGAAAATCTTTGGAGGGAGTTGAAAGTCCGTGTTGCCCAGCGACAGCCCCAAAACATCACTGCTCTAGAGGAGATCTGCATGGAGGAATGGGCCAAAATACCAGCAACAGTGTGTGAAAACCTTGTTTGACCTGTGTCATTGCCAACAAAGGGTATATAACAAAGTATTGAGAAACTTTTGTTATTGACCAAATACTTATTTTCCACCATAATTTGCAAATAAATTCATAAAAAATCCTACAATGTGATTATCTGGATATTTTTTTCTCATTTTGTCTGTCATAGTTGACGTGTGCCTATGATGAAAATTACAGGCCTCTCTCATCTTTTTAAGTGGGAGAACTTGCACAATTGGTGGCTTACTAAATACTTTTTCCCCCCACTGTAAATACATACATACAACCTTTTTTTAGTAAAGGGTTCATTAATCTTGTCCAAAGAACCAAAAGGTTATAAATAAAACCCCAAAGAACCCTTTTTTTCTAAGCGTGTAGGTTAATGTTTGGAATACTGTACATCTAAGACAATAGGAAGGTCTATGGAATACTCTATATGAAAATATTGATGTAGGACTGAGGAATATATGAGAAAGGAAAGGAAGGGAGAGGCCTGTGGCGTACAGAGAGAGAGAGAGAGAGAGAAAGAGAGAGAGAGAGAGAAAGAGAGAGAGAGAGGGAGCGAGAGATGGCCTTCTACCCATATCTTTACAGATGCACTGGAAACCAGGAAGTACGATCAAATCAAGTTAATCAATTGCAGTAGAGGTCACGGATGGTGCGTGTGCACATGCGTGAGTTTATTTGAGCATGCGAGCGTTGTGTGTGTGTATCATCAGCGGCAATACAATTTCTAACCCATCAATATGTTCTCTCCCTCCCATCCTTCTCCTACTAGACGGTATATAAGCCCTGGCTGTGCTCGCAGTACTTCCAGACCACCCAGATGCACTGCAGTAAGAGGATCCCATGTGGCCAGTACTGTCTGGAGGTGCAGCAGAGGTGTCCCTATATCCTGCCTGACAACGACGATCTCATCCACGGAGGAAGCCCCAGTTTTATATGCACAGGTACAACCTTATATACTGTACTGTACACAGGTTATATGCTTAGGGACACACAGAATGGGCTGAATAGGGAGATTACTCCCTGTTGAACATGGAGTTCAACTACAGGACTGATATGTTACAAATAACTCATGGAACGAAAATGCCCCACCCAAAATATTTCACCTTTATTTATACTGATAAGTCAATTAAGAACAAATTCTTATTTACAATGATGACCTGCCAGGGAGCGGGCGCAGCACGTATAACACACAAGTAGGAGGCTAACAATATCATACAATCAACAGTCAATAAGAGAGTCAGTAAGACAGTCAGTAAGACATTAATAGGCAGCATTTAAGAGGTAGGGAGAAAACACATACAGTTATCAGTTAACATCTCAAAACAGTTTGTTTTCAAAAGTACCAATGGACACAAATCAAATCAAATCTAAATCAAAGAGCTCAGTTTCAGAGTTTTTTGAAGGACGGTCCAGTCTCTAGCATTGGAGAATTGAAAACCATTTTCCCCAAAGATACTGAGAGTCTTGGGGATTGCCAGCTTTATGTAATTGCTGGATCTCAGGTTGTTGTTGGTGGTGTCATAGTCTTAGTAGTGAGCTGAGTTAAACGGGGGTCTTGCCCACGAGGAATATGTATATGAATGTGAGCCAGTGGGTTTGATGTCGTACATGCAGGGATGGCCAGTTAATGGATGAATATAAGTCACAGTGATGGGTTTTGATTGGGGCACTAGTAACAAAGCGAATGGCAGAGTGTAACTGTTGTAGTGTGAGATATGCTGTAGAGCACACATCATTATGTATGTCAAACATACACTATACAAATGTATGTGGACACCCTTCAAATCAGTGGATTCGGCTAATTCAGCCACACCCGTTGCTGACGTGTGTATAAAAATCGAGCACATAGCCATGCAATCTCCATAGACAAACATTGGCAGTAGAATGGCCTTACTGAAGAGTGACTTTCAACGTGGCACCGTCATAGGATGCCACCTTTCCAACAAGTCATTTCGTAAAATTTCTGCCCTGCTAGAGCTGCCCCGGGTCAACTGTAAGTGTTGATATTCTGAATGGGAAACGTCTATAAGCAACAACGGCTCAGCCGCGAAGTGGCCACAGATCTAGTAATCCATGTTGATTTATCTGTCAGAAATATAATATGAATTCGTGCCTTCTGAAGCTTATTCATTTTGTTTTGTGCTGAGTTGGTGCTGCTTTCCTTAGTGTTGAAAACATCTGATCTGTGTGTGTGTGTGCATTCGCGTGTCTACATGCGTCTGTGTGTGTACACCCCTTTGTGTGTTTCCAAACACACACTCTGAAAGCGTGGCCTGTCAGATCGGAGCTGTAACCGTTTTTGAGATTTTAATCTCTTTAACGTCAAACAGTCTAGAGTGGGAGACAACTTAGCCCTCCTCACAAGTTCACCCACTCACATAAGCATGCACACCACTCACTGACACACACAGACACACAGCCCGCAAGGAGGGAGCAACAGTCGTGGTTGTTAGAGTACAGAAGATAATCCATTGTCCAATCCAAAATTAACCTATAGCCTCTACCAGACTACTACGAGACACTTTTTGATTTGAGAGGATCAGATGCTTGTACTAATGTTGGAAACAAGATTTAGGAGTGATTAGGATTTTTCTTACACACACGTTATATTTGTAGGGGTGTCAAGGGGTAAGGCTAAGAGATGTATATTCTTTTGATTTTTATCTTATGTTTGTTGTGTAGTAAATATTTCAGCTTAAATTTTCATTGTTTTTTATTAGTTTTTTCCTGTAAAGCACATTGCATTGCTTTCCAAGTCTGAAGTGTGCTGTATAAATAAAGCTTGATATGATTTAAGATGAGCAGAACTGTGTATGGTACTGTAGCCTATGTTTGCATATGGTCTAAATAGCGTTGACAAAAAAATACATTTATCCTACTAGTTGTATATTGAGTAGTAAACGTGTGTTCCTCCTCTGCAGGGCTGTTGGAGGAGTACCCTGGGGGCGTGGATGCAGACGCAGAGTGCTGTGATGTCTGGTGGGACTTCCAGCCGGAAGCGGACAACAACCGTTCCCGGGGGACCCTTAAAAGAACTCACCCATCCTGTCACCACCGTACCTCTCTCAGTTCTTCGGCCGCATGCAGACTGTGCAACAGCCGGCTCAAACTCTGCCTGCTAGTCCTGGTCCTCCTGCACACTGTCGCCTCCCTCACCGCATCCCACAATGCAACAGGACTGGGCCTGGGCCTCCCCGCCTCCCTCACCCCTCTGGAGGAGAGTTCCCCCGCCAACGAGGAGTGATGGGATGGCTGAGGATTTACGTTGTCATGGCAACCCACGCGGCTACGAGGATATGAAACATCTCTGCCTCGGTCAGGAATGCTATGTGCTGTGGACGGGACGTCTGCAGCCGCCGTGCTTTCTGGGTAATGGAGTCTTTCCGGAGGTGTGGGACTACTTGGAGACGTGCAAATCAATCAAAACAAACAGACTAACAAACAAACAAAGAGACAAAAAACATGACAGTGGCGGGAACGTGGGACAATGCCACAGCCTTTGTTGACTGCGAAGGCCTCCTCACTGCTGAGTTTCTCTCACTGCTCTTTTTTACACTGTGTTCCTGTTCTGGCTTTTTGTTGCACTGGCTGACTACAGGATAACATTCACTCTCCTCCTTTTAGAATTTCCGCCCCTTATGTTGTTTCTTTATTGGTCTCTTGTGCAGGAAAATGTCTCATCGATATAGGATAGATAACACGTATCAAAAGCAAAGTTGTGAGTGTGTGCATGCTTGTGTGTGTGAGTGTGTGTGGATGTGTGTGTCCACTCTGAAGTCTCCACTTATTTGGGTTCCCATTCCTAAACCTTCTTTAGATGTAGGAAAGGACACTCTAAATGTTAGAGTAGTAATTTGTTCTCATGTTCTCAATCAACATACTATCCCATGTCAAATTAACACCCACCCAGATTACATCAGATTACACTACTGGCCAATCTCTCAATATAGAAGACAACCCCTTAACCCAGCCCTAGATATATCAATATTCCACAATATTCTCTGAATCCTGTCCCTACCACACTCTGTCCATTTCCTATGACATCTTCTCAGCCCAGCACTCCACACACAGGAGGTCTACTTTAGCTTCTGTTCTATTTGGTGTTTATTGTTCTGTCTTATCAAGATGTGTAGACTCTATTCTGTACTTGCATGTGGAGTCTCTCTTACATTATGTGAAATTCACAGCCTTGTTGGTTTGCTTTGAGTAGCCTTAGCCCCCCCTCTGTGTTACAGAACACTACTGCACCCCCAAAAGATCACCAGTAAGGTAGCATTGTCCTCTGTTTTTCACTGCTTTCTTCAGAAAATGTGACTTAAATCTCACATTAAGTAAAGGGCTTATTTCTATTTACATTTATACACACACTCACACATCACAAAGACGGGTGTATGGCTTGAGGTATCTCATTTGACACTGCATGCTTAGGGATACACCTTCAAAGGTAAGCGTTTGATTACAAGGCGTTTCATGTGTTGCTATATAGAATGGGCAGGTGTAGGACCCAGTATGGAGTATGTTTAAATGCGGCAGAGTAAGGTTGAGAAGCTCAGAGGTAGACTTTAGCATTACTGTTCGCAATATGTTTAGCAATAGCTGGAGGAAAAGGCGATCTTTAAGGGCTGTTTTTGTTCTTTCATTGTCCCGTTGTTTTCTAGATAATGAACTGAACTGATGGATAGGTGAGTCAGGTTCAGATAGGTGAGTCAGGCCTAACAAATGTCTGCTGATTGCAGCATTCTCCACTCTCATGTCTGTCGATTATGTGTGTTTGCTGTATAGCTAGGGCCGGCTTGCCAGAGTCTATTAGTCAACCATAGGTTCCAAAAATGTAGAAACAATTTCAAAAGTGGTTCTCCTCTTTTACATCCATTGCTCATTTGTTGTTCCATTCTCCATTGTGAGGTCTGTCTGATGTTTACTTGTGGTCTCACTCATATTCATGACCTCCCGGAGAGTTGGGGAATACATTTATATTTTAAGCAGACGCTCTTATCCAGAGCGACTTACAGTTAGTGAGTGCATACATTTTCTCATACTGGTCCCCCGTGGGAATTGAACCCACAACCCTGGCGTTGCAAGTGCCATGCTCTACCAACTGAGCTACACAATACAACCTGTATACTTGGAGCAACGAGTTGTGTGCATTCACGTGCATTAAAACAAGTTGAGCCATTAATTCACAAATTAACAGCAAACTATCTACTTTCCAATTTGTAAGTCGCTCTGGATAAGAGCGTCTGCTAAAGGATGTAAATGTAAATGTTAACCATAAACCAAAAGTACAGCTATCATGCTCATAAACAAATTATAGTGTTAAAAAACATATACGTTTTTGCTGTTGCGTTTAACTGCCAAAAATGCTGTCATCGAAGTCATTTCCTTAGGTGATGTCACAGTTCAGAATGTCAGAGGTTTTGGGGTCCAGAGATGATACCAGAGTTGCCAAATTGCAAGTAACACTTGGAAGCTAATGTGGACCTTTTTTTCTCCTATTTTAGATAACTCCGATAGGTTGTGAATGCAGGGTCAGTTCATTTGACCTCATCACCCCATAATTTCCTTGCTGGTTCCACAGCCTGTTATTTCATAGGCCAACAGTAGATGGGGCTCTTGACTAGGTTTATTTCCAGCATGCAGTATAAATGATGAATTAAAGGTAGAGGGATGTCCTAGCAAGATTGAACCACTGGAAGACAGCTGAGGGTCAAAGCAGATGCATAGGGATACAGGAGGCTGAGGTCTTCTGGACCTAGACAAACTAGAGGTGTGTGTGTGTTGTGTGCAGGTGTGCGTGCGTCCGTACATGCACGCGTGTGTGCCTGTATTAGAGGGGATTCTGGTGGCTCACTAATTAGTCAGGTTCAGCCTAGAGCCAGTCTTCTCTGGAGACCTCATTAGCATGGCTGTGACCTTGGGGCCTGCAGGTGTAGAGGAAACCTGTCCTCAGAGCCCCCAGGAGACACAACACTAAATAGCCCCATTAATCACTTCTTCATCTTCATGAGCACCAGATTAGAGCATACATACACCTTCATCAGCATGACATCTCTATCAGCCTCACATCCCCTCATCCCTCATCTAGACCTACATCAGCATTATACCTCAATCATCACCTCATCCCTACATCAGCATTATACCTCAATCATCACCTCATCCCTACATCAGCATTATACATCAATCATCACCTCATCCCTACCTCAGCATTATACCTCTATCATCACATCATCCCTACCTCAGCATTATACCTCTATCATCACCTCATCCCTACATCAGCATTATACCTCTATCATCACCTCATCCCTACATCAGCATTATACCTACAATACTTCTGCACATCTGAACATAATCTTCTAGTAAACAGCCTCATTCTGTCTGTCCATCTGAGAGGAGTGAGAAAGAGAGAGACAAAGATTCAGAGGCATATAAAAAAAATAAAAAGATACAAAAAAGAGAGGTTGACTAATCAAAATGAACAAAGTGGACCCTAGCCCAAAACCGAAATCAGTAAGAGTGTGTGATGACACAGCAGGGCCGTGAACAGACCTTTTTGGAGGGCAATCTATAAAAAGGGCACCCCCAAAAATATGTTTCTGCAACAGCGGTCACAGACTGTTGAGCAATTATGACTTAGATTATTTATACTGAGTAAAAATATAAACGCAACATGTAAATTGTTGGTCCCATGTTTCATGAGCTGAAATAGAATATCCCAGAAATGTTCCATACACACAAAAAGCTTATTTCTCTCAAATGTTGTGCATAGTTTACATCCATGTTTGTGAGCATTTCTTCTTTGCCAAGATAATCCATCCACCTGACAGATGTGGCATATCAAGAAGGTGACTAAACAGCATGACCATTACACAGGTGCACCTTGTGCTGTGGACAATAAAAGGTCACTTTAAAATGTGCAGTTTTGTCACATAACACAATGCCACAGATGTCTCAAGTTTTGAGGGAATGTGCAATTGGCATGCTGACTGCAGGAATGTCCACCAGAGCTTTTGCCAGAGAATGTTCATTTCTCTACCATAAGCCGCCTCCAACGTTGTTTTAGAGAATTTGGCAGTATGTCCAACCGGCCTCACAAATGCAGACCACATGTGACCATGCCAGCCCAGGACCTCCACATCAGGCTTCTTCCCCTGCGGGATGAGACCAGCCACCTGGACAGCTGATGAAACGGTGGGTTTGCACAACTGAAGAATTTCTGCACAAACTGTCAGAAACCGTCTCAGGGAAGCTCATCTCGTTCTGAACAGAGTGCCCCATGGTGGCGGTGGGGTTATGGTATGGGCAGGCATAAGCTACGGACAACAAACACAATTGCATTTTATCGATGGCAATTTGAAAGCACAGAGAGAAACGGTGACGAGATCCTGAGGCCCATTATCGTGCCATTCATCTGCCGCCATCACCTCATGTTTCAGCGTGATAATGCACAGCCCCATGTCGCAAGGATCTTTACACAATTCCTGGAAGCTGAAAATGTCCCAGTTCTTCCATGGCCTGCATACTCACCAGACATGTTACCCATTGAGCATGTTTGGGATGCGCTGTATCGACGTGTACGACAGCGTGTTCCAGTTCCCGCCAATATCCAGCAACTTTGCACAACCATTGAAGAGGAGTGGGACAACATTCTACAGGCCACAATCAACAGCCTGATCAACTCTATGCAAAGGAGATGTGTCGCGCTGCATGAGGCAAATGGTGGTCACACCAGATACTGACTGGTTTTCTGATCCACGCCCCTACCTTTCTTTTAAGGTAACTGTGACCTTTTTTTGTGACCAACAGGTGCATATCTGTATTCCCAGTCATGTTAAATCCATAGATTAGGGCCTAATGAATTTATTTCAATTGACTGATTTCCTTATGTGAACTGTAACTCAGTAAAATCTTTGAAATTGTTACATGTTGCGTTTATATTTTTGTTCAGTGTAGTTACATAAAAACAATAGATGGCCACATCTAAATGGTTAATTAAATGACACATAGTTAAACGCGAATATAACGACGACTTGCCGGCAGTGGGTTCAGAACAACAACAACAACTGTATACAAAAACACTTTAGAGACCGGAAGGGCAAAGGGGCATGTGCTCTGTACAGGTAAAGCCCTATCTGCGTTACAGTATGCAAGAGAATCCTACACACACCCAGAATAAAGCCATGCCTCTTTTGGAGAGCTCTAAATAGTATGTCCTAAGAGAAATGATATAGTATCACCAAATATAAG